TGTATAATGTAGTGTAGTGTATAGTGTAGTGTATAGTGTAGTGTGTAGTGTAGTGTATAGTAGTGTATAATGTAGTGTATAGTGTATAGTGTGTATAATGTAGTGTATAGTGTAGTGTATAGTGTAGTGTATAGTGTAGTATAGTATAGTGTATAGTAGTGTAGTGTATAGTGTAGTGTGTGTAGTGTATAGTGTAGTGTATAGTGTAGTGTGTAGTGTAGTGTATGTATAGTGTTAGTGTATAGTGTAGTGTATATTAGTGTAGTGGTAGTGTATAGTGTAGTGTATAGTGTAGTGTATAGTAGTGTATAATGTAGTGTAGTGTGTAGTATATAAATAAGTCTTGCCGTTACAGAAGATGCCTTCCCGTTACAGAAGATGTCTTCCCGTTACAGAAGATGTCTTCCCGTTACAGATGTACAGAGGCACAGACACGGAGACAGTTTCAGTTTAAAGTTTAATTTATTTTGAGGTATAACCACGTGACCCATGGGGCAACAAACAAAAAACACGAAAAAATAAAATCTTAAAATGACGACGCGCAACAGAAACATCCAGGAGAAAAAACCTTCCCCAAAAAATCAGCGCATATCAAACAAGACAACCATAATACAATTTACATTAAAGTTATGAGACACAAAGACAGACAGACACGCGCAGAGAGAGAGATGGCTTAGCGAAGTGGCTTATCATCTCAGGGACAGACCCAGCAGGCGCCGTGGGTTGACTGCTGTGCCAGGCTAGGTGCAGGAGGAGGTCACGGGACAGACCCAGCAGATGCCGTGCTGTGCCAGGCTAGGTGCAGGAGGAGGTCACGGGACAGACCCAGCAGGTGACACGGGTTGACTGCTGTGCCAGGCTAGGTGCAGGAGGAGGGGGTCATGGGACAGATCCTGTGGGTGCCATGGGTTGACTGCTGTGCCAGGCTAGGTGCAGGAGGAGGGGGTCATGGGACAGATCCTGCAGGTGCCATGGGTTGACTGCTGTGCCAGGCTAGGTGCAGGAAGTCACGGGACAGACCCTGCAGGTGCCGTGGGTTGACTGCTGTGCCAGGCTAGGTGCATGAGGAGGTCACGGAGCAGACCCAGCAGGTGCCATGGGTTGACTGCTGTGCTAAGCTAGGTGCATGGGTCTGTGTGGTGAGTCTATGGATCTCTGTGTAGTGAGTCTATGGGTCTCTGTGTAGTGAGGCTATGGATCTCTGTGTGGTGAGTCTATGGGTCTGTGTGAAGTCTTGGGTCTCTGTGAGTATATGGGATTCTGTATGAGTCTATGGGTCTCTGTGTGAGTATATGTGACTCTGTATGATGAGTCTATGAGTCTCTGTGTGGTGATCCTATGAATCTCTGTGACGAGTCTATGGGTCCTGTGTAGTGAGTCTATGGTCTGTGTGGTGAGTCGATGGATCTCTGTATGATGAGTCTATGGGTCTCTGTGTGGTCAGTCTATGGGTCTCTGTGTGAATATATGGGATTGTGTGGTGAGTCTATGGGTCTGTGTGGTGAGTCTATGAGTCTCTGTGTGGTGAGTCTATGGATCTCTGTGTGATGAGTCTGTGGGTCTCTGTGTGGTGAGTCTGTGGGTTTGTGTGGTGAGTCTATGGGTCTCTGTGTAGTGAGTCTATGGGTCTCTGTGTGATGAGTCTATGGGTCCTCTGTATGAGTCTGTGGGTCTCTGTGTGATGAGTCTGTGGGTCTCTGTGTGGTGAGTCTGTGGGTCTCTGTGTGATGAGTCTATGGGTCTCTGTGTGGTGAGTCTATGGGTCTCTGTGTAGTGATTCTATGGATCTGTGTGATGAGTCTATGGATCTGTGTGTGATGAGTCTGTGGGTCTCTGTGTGATGAGTCTGTCGGTCTCTATGTGATGAGTCTGTGGGTCTCTGTGTGATGAGTCTGTGGGTCTCTATGTGATGAGTCTGTGGGTCTGTGTGATGAGTCTATGGGTCTGTGTGATGAGTCTATGGGTCTCTGTGTGGTGAGTCTATGAATCTGTGTGTGATGAGTCTATGGGTCTCTGTGTGATGAGTCTGTGGGTCTCCGTGTGATGAGTCTGTGGGTCTGTGTGGTGAGTCTGTGGGTCTCTGTGTGGTGAGTCTATGGGTCTCTGTGTGATGAGTCTATGGGTCTCTGTATGATGAGTCTGTGGGTCTCTGTGTGGTGAATCTGTGGGTCTCTGTGTGATGAGTCTGTGGGTCTCTGTGTGGTGAGTCTGTGGGTCTCTGTGTAGTGAGTCTATGGGTCTCTGTGTGATGAATCTATGGGTCTCTTGTGTGGTGAGTCTATGGGTCTCTGTGTAGTGATTCTATGGATCTGTGTGATGAGTCTATGGATCTGTGTGTGATGAGTCTGTGGGTCTCTGTGTGATGAGTCTGTCGGTCTCTATGTGATGAGTCTGTGGGTCTCTGTGTGATGAGTCTGTGGGTCTCTATGTGATGAGTCTGTGGGTCTCTGTGTGATGAGTCTATGGGTCTGTGTGATGAGTCTATGGGTCTCTGTGTGGTGAGTCTATGAATCTGTGTGTGATGAGTCTATGGGTCTCTGTGTGATGAGTCTGTGGGTCTCCGTGTGATGAGTCTGTGGGTCTGTGTGGTGAGTCTGTGGGTCTCTGTGTGGTGAGTCTGTGGGTCTCTGTGTGGCGAGTCTGTGGGTCTCTGTGTGGCGAGTATGTGGGTCTCTGTGTAGTGAGTCTATGGGTCTCTGTGTGATGAGTCTATGGGTCTCTGTATGAGTCTGTGGGTCTCTGTGTGATGAGTCTGTGGGTCTCTGTGTGGTGAGTCTGTGGGTCTCTGTGTAGTGAGTCTGTGGGTCTCTGTGTGATGAATCTATGGGTCTCTTGTGTGGTGAGTCTATGGGTCTGTGTAGTGATTCTATGGATCTGTGTGATGAGTCTATGGATCTGTGTGTGATGAGTCTGTGGGTCTCTGTGTGGTGAGTCTGTGGGTCTCTGTGTGGTGAGTCTATGGGTCTCTGTGTGGTGAGTCTGTGGGTCTCTGTGTGATGAGTCTGTGGGTCTCTATGTGATGAGTCTGTGGGTCTCTGTGTGATGAGTCTGTGGGTCTCTGTGTGATGAGTCTATGGGTCTCTGTGTGATGAGTCTATGGGTCTCTGTGTGGTGAGACTATGAATCTGTGTGTGATGAGTCTATGGGTCTCTGTGTGATGAGTCTGTGGGTCTCTGTGATGAGTCTGTGGGTCTGTGTGGTGAGTCTGTGGGTCTCTGTGTGGCGAGTCTGTGGCTCTCTGTGTGATGCGTCTGTGGGTCTCTGGGTGGTGAGTCTGTGGGTCTCTGTGTGATGAGTCTGTGGGTCTTGAACGGATTGTTTTCTCGCTTACCCCTTATGACGTTTCAAAGGTTGCGATTCGCCCAAGATGGCGCTTCACTTCTGCCGGATTTTGAGAGCGGACGGGGCTTGGTCCGAGTCCTTGTTTGTGTAAAGTAGTAACTCGGCAGGAGACGACTTCACGGGTAGCACACTCTTTATTTTCACCAACTTGTAGTTACACGGATGACTAACACCCACTTAGCTACACGGGTGACCAACACCCACTCAGCTACACGGGTGACTAACACCCACTCAGCTACACGGGTGACCAACACCCACTCAGCTACACGGGTGACTAACACCCACTCAGCTACACGGGTGACCAACACCCACTCAGCTGTACTGACACGGGCTCTTACGCCCCGTAGCCTTCCGGGACACACCCAGCCGGGGTGCCCGTCTCGGCTCTGGGTACCACCGTCCCGACCCACACGGGCGTCGGACTACGGTCCCCCCAGTCTCGGCTCCGAGCCACACAGGGCCCCGGTCCCCACAAGGACGGCGGGACTAGGGGTCTCGGGCCCCTACCTCCTCCACCCCGTCTTCAACTGGTTAACACTGACCACGAGTGCTCTCGCGCGTCCCCCTTTATACCCCCTCCTGCGGACGTCGCTGAGAGTACCCACTTATCTGACCAATCACTGCGCACTCGCTACGATCCTCTTTTCCCAGCTTGTGTGAGCGCGCCTCACCACCGGCGCGCGCGTCCATGCCACGCCCACACCGCGTGCCCAACCCCGCGCCCCGTGATCCATCACTGCCGGCGCACGTCAATACCACCACTACATTTGCATTCAATAAAAGTCCACAAAGTGGTCGGGAAAACTACGGCGGAGTATCTCTTCGTGTTCGGCGTTGCGTGGCGTTTTTTTTTACGTTTGAAATGAAGGTTTAGTGCGTGGTGTCCCGTCATGGCACCTTCTTGTCGGTGTCAAAGTGTACATCAGCCGCACCCAGTTTACACAACAAAGGCTCATTCCTAACAGCGTGCTTCAGCCGCACCGAACCTCACAACAATAATATTCAGGGCCTACCTTGGCTCCTCCCACCCTCAACCAGTATATATACAAGTACTGTGTTCTTGGAATTTCTCTCACTTGATACAGCTGTCGTGCTGTGACGGTTCCACCTGAAGACGGAAGCGATTTTAATTTTATTTTACCAATTAAAATTTTTTACCTACCTGGTGACTTTACCGAAAAAACCTAAGAATCTGTAACGACGGCTTGGCGCACTTCTCTTGAGACGGCACTTCACTGCAGACGCGGCGACTTGGCATCGGCCGGAGATCCCCGCCGCGGGAGACTCGCGGCTCCCGTGGCGGGGATCTCCCCCTCGTACGGCAGCACGTGGCCCCCCTCGCCCCCCTTCGCAATCGCGCGACAAATCAAATCCGCCATTTTTTTTGTCGCAAAATATAATTGACGTTTATTGGCGCCCATTTTATTCCCTCACAAAATGTGTGCGCAGTGACGGGGTTTGCCACCTGTCACTGCGCACACTGCTCACCACGCCCCCCGACAGACCTGTTCCTCTTCACCTGAGGACGGCTGCTTGCGTTGTGGCCGAAATTCGTGAGAATTAATTAATGTTTTATTTTTATTATTTTATTACTTCCATTCTACGTGACGACTTTACTGAAAGAACCAAGAAAAAACCTGTTGACTGTGGGGGTTAACTAGAGGTGCGGGTGCGTCATACAACGGCCGAACCCACAAGGGGCACGTTAACTGGGGCAAGGCTCAAGGTGGGGATTCACTGGGAAGCTCCTGGAACCAGCGAGAGAGTTCCAGAGGTGGGCGTGGCCACGCTGGGCAAATATAAGGGAGAGGCAAGTGGGGGTTTGGGGCTGTCGTGGTGGTCTCGGGTCAAGGCTGTCGTCGCTGTCATCACTGCCGTCTCTTCGTCGTCGTCGTCGTCGCACAGCCAGCCAGCTATAGAGTTGTACGTCGCCGGTGTGGCTGTACGGGTGGCAAAGCTCTACGTGGCCCGGCGTGTATGTTACTCCGTGAGCCTGTCCGGAGCGTGTCGAGAAATCAAGTTAGCCGAGACAACCACGACACCACACGCCGTACAATAACAGCCACGTAGGGCGATACACCCACCTGCACGACAGGCTTTCGTCTGAATTCACATAGCCAGGCCTTGCCAGCACGCCGGCTCTGGCTAAATGTCCTCACGGAATGCTTTTCCCCGGTCGCCCGAGGGGCCGGTTGATTTCAATTTTCGGTTGACTTGGACCCAGCGGCTTGACATTCAACGTCTCCTGCGTCGTCCTCCTTCCCCAGCTCGTGGCTGGGCAGCCTCAGCCGGGCGCGCAGAACCGCGCCGTGCAGCGCCGCCGCCGCCGCCGCACCCTCCTCCAGCTGCGGCTCGTGGTGGGGAGGGAGGGAGGGGAATCCGGTGAGCTGCAAAGCTCTTTGCGGCAGGGCGGCGGTGCGGGTCGTCACAAAGTCACGGCGACAAAACAAAGCGGAGCGATCCGTCCTCCGTGAGGTGTCACGTGCGACCGGGCTGCGGTGCGTGTGTGTGTGTGCATGTGTGTGTGTGGTGCGTGTGTGCGTGTGTGTGTACGTGTGTGTGCGTGTGTGTGTCTATGTGTGCACGTGTGTGCGTGTGTGTCTATGTGTGTGTGTGCGTGTGTGTGTGCGCGTGTGTGTGTCTATATGTGTGTCTATGTGTGTGTGCGTGTGTGCGCGTGTGTGCGTGTGTGTGCGTGTGCGTGTACGTGTGTGCGTGTGTGTGTCCGCGTGTGCGCGTGTGTGCGTGCGTGTGTGCGTGCGTGTGTGTCTATGTGCGTGCGTGTGCGTGTGTGTGTCTATGTGTGTGCGTGTGTGTGTGCGTGTGTGTCTATGTGTGTGCGTGCGTGTGGGGAGCGGTAGTGTAGCGGTTAGCGCTACGCTGCGCTATGAACCTGGAGACCCGGGTTCGATTCCCGCTCACGGCCAACACCAGTGATGATTATCTGAACCGGTCCTGGGCCTCCCCTAGGTCGACTCAGCTTCAAATGAGTACCTGGTGCGGTGTGTAGTAAACATCGCCACTGGGAAAGTGTGTGTGCGCGTGTAGTAGGAGGCACATGTGGTGCATCAGTCAGTCATCTCGGTCAGTCGACCCGTGGCACCTGCTGGGTCTGCCCCGTGACCTCCTGCCAGCGGGCGTTCGATACTTCACGTGGCCTCAAGGTGCACATGGCCTGGCACAAGCGCCGTGGTGACGTCACCGCCACTTAGTGGCGAATGGCGAGGATTGGTATTGGCACCGGGTGAAAGTGTGTGTTTGCGTGTGTGAACATGAGTGTGCAGTCCTGGGCCTCCCCTAGGTCGACTCAGCCTCAAATGAGTACCTGGTGCGGTGTGTCAACATCGCCACTGGGGAGACAAAGGCGGCCGGGCATGGTGCTGGCCACCCACCCCCTCGTTCGTGTGCCGTTCCGGCCTTCATAGGTGCTCGCTAACAGCACTTGCCCCTACAGTCTGTTAAGGCTACACGGGGGTTCTATGTCAACGCCGGCCTCGGGAACGAATTGTGTCCGTGGTGCAACAGAAACATCGAGACGAGGTCGTACCTTCATCCGGATCCGTCCAACTCCAAGCTCCGAGTGCGTGTCCCACGTGACGGAGAAGCAATGGCGGACGTGTCCGTAGCACTTGATGTCCGCCAGCTTGAGGGTCACCGCCGTGGCGTCTGCTGCCACACAAGGAAGCGGCACTCTGCACATCGCCCACAGACCCCCCCACAACCTGCAGCCTGCACCCCCCTCTGTGGGTCTCTGTGGGTCTCTGTGGGTCTCTGCGGGTCGATGGGACTCTGCGAGTCACCGTTTGTCACTCATTTAGCGTAGGCTACGGGTAGGGAATCAAAACCCGCTTGCGACCTCTGCCGCCGCCGCCACCTGCCTGCGAGTGGCCCCGTCGCGGGGCTCGCGAAGCGCAGGCTCCCGGCGTGGACGTAGACGCGGCAGGGCCCCGCACGCACCTCCGCCGCCCCGCGGCGGCTCCACAGCCGCCCTTCCCACGCGGCCAGCGGCGGCCCGGCCCCGCCGCCCGCCGCCGGCAGGAGGTGAGCCCGCAGGGCCCCCAGCCAGGCCCGTCTCTGGGCCTCGTCGTCGGCGGCCAGGGCGAGGTACCCCGCGTCGGCGAAGACCGCCAGGCCGTACGGGGCCCGCGCGTCCGAGCGCTCCACCGCCGCCCCTAGCCCGCCGAGGGGCAGGACGCGGGGCGGCGGGCGGAGGAGCAGGCGGGCGAGGCGGGCGAGGCGGGCCGGGCAGGTCGGGGTGGGGGAGCGGGAGGAGGCGGGGGGTGGGGGCGCCCCGCCCCCCCAGGCCAGGCAGCTCTCCCGGGGGCTGCGGTAGCACTGGAGGAGGGGGGCTACGGTCCCGTCGCCCCCACGCAGCACGAAAGAAGCGGCGGTGGCCACTTGGCCGCTCGGTGAGGAAGCCGCTGAACAGCACGGAGCTCCAGCGGAGCCACGGAGCTCCAGCCGGCGGTGGCGGTGGTGATAGTGGTGGTGATGGTGGTGGTGGTGATGGTGGTGATAGTGGTGATAGTGGTGGTGGTGTTAGTGGTGGTGGTGATAGTGGTGGTGGTGATGGTGGTGATGGTGGCGGTGGTGATAGTGGCGGTGGTGGTGATAGTGGTGATAGTGGTGATAGTGGTGATGGTGTTAGTGGTGGTGGTGACAGTGGTGGTGGTCGTGGTGTTAATGGTGGTAATGGTGACAGTGGTGGTGGTAGTGGTGGTGTGGGCGATGGCGGTGGTGATGGTGGTAGTGGTGGTGATGGCGATAGTGGTCGTGGTCGTGGTGGTGGTAGTGTGGGTGATGGCGGTGGTGATTGTGGTAATGGTGGTGATAGTGTGGTTGATGACAGTGTTGATGGTGATAGTGGTGGTAAAGGTGGTGGTGATGGTGGTGATAGTGTGGGTGATGGCGGTGTTGATGATGGTGATAATGGTGGTGGTGATGGTAGTGTGGGTGATGGTGATTGCAGTGATGGATGTATGTTGCAACCACGTTCGCATTCTATAGTGCCCACCATGACAAGCGGAGGTGCATGGGGTGGTGATGTAGTGACGCTGGTTATTTTGCTCAAGTGGTGATGGTGGTAATGATGATGGTGATGGTGGTGACGGTGGTGTGGTGACGACGGTGTGGTGATGGTGGCCGTTTTGGTATCGGTGTGGTAATGGCGTAGAGAGATCGCGACGGTGCGATGATTGTGAGTGTGCTGATGGTGGTATGGAGATGGTGGCGTGGTGATGGTGACGGTGGCGTGGTGATGGTGATGCGGTAATGGTGATGACGGTGTAATGATGGTGTGGTGATGGTGGTGATGGTGGTGGTGATAGTGGTGATGGTGGTGGAGTGCTGGTAGTAGCGACATTGCGTGAGTGTGTGTGAGTTTACGTGTGTGGGTGGGTATGTGTAGTGTGTGAGTGTGAGTGCGAGTGTGGGTGGGTGTGAGTGCGTGTGAGTGTGTGCGTGGGTGTGTGTGAGTGTGTGTGAGTTTGCGTGTGTGGGTGGGTATGTGTGAGTGCGTGTGTGTGAGTGTGGGTGGGTGTGTGAGTGCGTGTGAGTGTGTATGCGTGAGTGTGCGTGTGTGAGTGCGTGTGTGAGTGTGTGTGTGGGTGTGTGTGAGTGTGTGTGCGTGTGTGGGTGTGTGTGGGTGCGTGCGTGTGAGTATGTGTGTGTGTGTGTCAGTGTGTGTGTGTCAATGTGTGTGTGTCAACGTGTGTGTGTCAATGTGTTTGTGTCAATGTGTGTGTGTCAGTGTGTGTGTGTCAATGTGTGTGTGTCAATGTGTGTGTGTCAGTGTGCGTGTGTCAATGTGCGTGTGTCAGTGTGTGTGTGTCAGTGTGTGTGTGTCAGTGTGTGTGTGTGTCAGTGTGTGTGTGTCAATGTGTGTGTGTCAGTGTGTGTGTGTCAGTGTGTGTGTGTCAATGTGTGTGTGTCAGTGTGTGTGTGTCAGTGTGTGTGTGTCAGTGTGTGTGTGTCAATGTGTGTGTGTCAGTGTGTGTGTCAATGTGTGTGTGTCAGTGTGTGTATGTCAATGTGTGTGAGTCAATGTGTGTGTGTCAATGTGTGTGTGTCAGTGTGTGTGTTGTTGCCTCTTCCACTACTGAATTGTCCTGCACACCAGACGATGTAGTTAACATCCTGGGGAGAGAGACTCCAAACTCCAAACACAGCAGCAGCAGCAGCGTCGTCAGGGTCGGGATCGAACCACCACCACAACAACAACCACCACCACAACAACCACCACTACCACCACCACAACAAACACCACCACCACTACAACCACCACCACAACCACCACTACAACCACCACCACCACAACAACCACCACCACTACAACAACCACCACCACTACAACCACCACTACCACCACAACAACCACCACCACTACAACCACCACAACAACCACCACAACAACCACCACTACAACCACCACTACCACAACCACCACAACAACCACCACCACCGCAACCACTACAACAACCACCACTACCACCACCACAACAACCACCACTACCACCACTACCACCACAACAACCACCACTACAACCACCACTACAACCACCACCACCACCACAACAACCATCACTACCACCACCACAACCACCACTACAACCACCACTGCAACCACCACCACAACAACCACCACAACCACAACAACCACCACAACCACTACAACCACCACCACAACCACTACAACCACCACTACAACCACCACAACAACCACCACTACAACCACCACTACAACCACCACAACAACCACCACAACCACAACAACCACCACTACAACCACCACTGCAACCACCACCACAACAACCACCACTACAACCACCACAACAACCACCACTACCACCACCACTACAACCACCACTACCACCACAACTACAACAACCACCACAACAACAACCACAACAACAACCACCACAAGAACCACTACAACCACCACCACAACCACCACCACTACAACCACCACTACAACCACCACCACTACAACCACCACTACAACCACCACTACAACCCCACCACTACAACCACCACAACAACAACCTCCAACCTGGGTGCCGCCATCTTGAACTTGGCGATGGTCTCCGGGTTATGACGTCACCGGGAATCGTTTGTTCGATTCTCATCGATTATAATCGAATCTCATCGATTCTAATCGTTGGTTTGCGCGTCTCTCTCTGCTAATCGATTCCCATCGATTATAATCATCGTTTTGCGTGTCTCCCTCTCTCTGATGATCGATTATCATCGATTAAATTATCCGTTCCGATGGCTCCGTGTGGCTATGAGATGTTGACCACCTCGCCTGGTCTACAGGAGGTCGTGGGTTCGATCTCTCATCATCACGGTGGCTATGAGATGTTGACCACCTCGCCTGGTCTACAGGAGGTCGTGGGTTCGATCTCTCTCATCATCATCATCACGGTGGCTATGAGATGTTGACCACCTCGCCTGGTCTACAGGAGGTCGTGGGTTCGATCTCTCTCATCATCATCATCACGGTGGCTATGAGATGTTGACCACCTCGCCTGGTCTACAGGAGGTCGTGGGTTCGATCTCTCTCATCATCATCATCACGGTGGCTATGAGATGTTGACCACCTCGCCTGGTCTACAGGAGGTCGTGGGTTCGATCTCTCTCATCATCATCATCACGGTGGCTATGAGATGTTGACCACCTCGCCTGGTCTACAGGAGGTCGTGGGTTCGATCTCTCTCATCATCATCATCACGGTGGCTATGAGATGTTGACCACCTCGCCTGGTCTACAGGAGGTCGTGGGTTCGATCTCTCTCATCATCATCATCATCACGGTGGTGAGTGATGGTGGTGAGTGATGGTGGTGAGTGATGGTGAGGGTGGTGGTGGTGAGTGATGGTGGTGAGGGTGGTGGTGGTGAGTGATGGTGGTGAGGGTGGTGGTGGTGAGTGATGGTGGTGGTGGTGAGGCCACCTCCATCACTACCATCACCACCACCTCCACTATTACCACCACCACTGTAACGTCCACCAACACCACGACCTCTACTTCCAACATCACCACATCCATCATCACCACCATCAACACCACCATCACCACCACCATCACCACCTCCATCATCACCACCATCACCACCACCATCATCACCACCATCACCACCACCATCACTACCACCATCACCACCACCATCATCACCATCATCACCACCATCACCACCATCATCACCACCATCATCACCATGATCACCACCACCATCACCACCACCATCACCACCACCATCATCACCACCATCACCACCATCATCCCCACCATCATCACCATGATCACCACCACCATCACCACTGCAACTCAGTTTGTACAAACTGAAATGTCGTGATTTTTATTTTATTTTACTTTTATTAATTTAAATTTTTTACCTACGTGGCTTTACCGAAAGAAAATCAACCTAAGAGTATGTGTGTGTGTGTGATATCAGCAAATTCCATTGGCCAACATCTAATTTGTTTTATTTTAAGGCCACAACATTGTTGACGAACGTGCTGAGTGTTTTGTCTTCATGAGACGCGTTGTTGTGTGTGACCACCACGTGTGCACACAATGCACGAGCTGGCAGCATGAGCGCTCGGCGTGGAGCGGTGGCGCAGTTGTTAGCGCACACAACCAGAATGTTTATACTGGAGGAATCCGATGAGCGATAAAGCTCTTCTAGACAGATGTCCAGTCGGGGCAGGTCAGAACGTGCCAACAACAAACGATACAGAGACGCAATAGAAGTCCTAAGTAGAGGAAAGGTAATCGAATCACTTACAAAATGTACACAAACTAAACTTAACTATTTTCTAGTTTAGTTTACAGCACTCCGCTGCAAATCCAGCAACTTGAGTTTCAATTCCCGGCCACTGCTGACATCAGCGGTGAGTCACATCTGAACCACATCGTGGTTGCCTTTCACCACATCCCCGCGGTGACCAGCGTGGTGAAGTATGGTCAAACAATGCCCACGGCGAGGGGGAGGCATTCATCCAGCAGCAGGGCATGGACACAGCGCTCCTCCGTACGTTGTGTGTCTATAGTTATACGAATCAGAATATTATTTTAAATTTGAGAAATCCGATGATCTACGAAGCTCTATTTTTTCAGAAGTTCAGAAGTTTCACTGGACGAGGAAAGCCCGGACCAGCTGACAAGCCCTCCTTTTCAAGGGCGACACGGCCGGCAGACAACATCAAAGCACTCCACAATTACAGATTATTATATTAAAAAAAAAATGTTTATTAGAAAAGTGCTCCTGTTATACACTTGACACGGGGGGCGGTGGGGGGAAATATCCTTATCCGCTGGGAAATAAAAAAAAATAAGCCACGGAAATTCACGGCAACACAAAAAAAATAAAAGGCAGAATCGGAGCGGCTGCGGTTGGGAGATGTTGGTGTGGACCCAGCGCCCTCGAGGATCAGAGGGATGTGCGAGTAACGAAGCAAAAAACAAGTCTCCGCGGGAGAGAGGCAGTTCTGTTGCCTAACTCCGTCGCGTACTTGCGGATTCTGTGGCGTACAAACGCGCTCGATCTGGGGATTTACCCCCCTCCCCCACCCCTTGCAGATGACAATGGGATCTCGGCTGGTTAACAAAACTAACAAAAAAAACGCCAATACACGTGGCCGTGGACTCAATTCAATTAGTTTGTACCGAATTACTTCAAACTGCGCTTCCTGTAACATTGTGCACGAGCGGAATTGTCTTTAGTGAACACAACACGCCGTGTTCATTACCACGACGACGGGCACGCACCACGAACGAAGCCATTACAAAACTACGACAATAAAACAAAAACCCTGTGCTCTATGGCTCCGATTCGGCATCTCAGAAATCAAATAATTACACTGGTCAACAAAAAAAAATTCTGGCCTGGATTTTTGCAGCTGTTCTAGACTAATTTCAGGGTGCCGATTCCAAATCTGATCTCAGATTTGCTCCATCACATCTCATTTTATGCTATCGGCATACCCCATTTTCATTGATTTTACCCGAAATTAACTCTTGTCACTTATGATTGCAAGTCGTTGCGAGTCAGTGACTGCTTTAGTGTTAAAATATGGTGCTGTATGTTTAGGATAGTGTGTTTATAATATAATTTTATGTAGATATCCACATTCATTTAATATTTTTCTTCCGCAGTTTTTATTGAAAATGCAATATTTGATATTTCAAAAACCTGATGTGATAGACAAAACTGATGCCAGATTTGGAATCAGCACCCTGAAATTAGTATAGAACAGCTGCAAAAGTCCAAATTACATTAAAACCCTTGGAATACCTCGTGCCAGACAAAGTGTGTTGACCAGCGTGATCGCAGTTGGTATTTGTCGCCACCGCTCTCATTGCGCGAGTCTGACACGCGCACGCGGGTTTAGTCAGCGGTGGTTCCGCTGTTTGGGGCGATGCTGCGGCTGTGTGGTTTTTACTTATCGTGTGATTGTTAACGTTGCCAGTACAGCACGATGTTGTTTAAACGGAGGACCCGGGAGAAACATCCACGCGACCACGGGGAGAAGGAGAGGCACGCGAACTCCAAATATGCAGCAGCAGGCGTCAGGGTCGGGATCGAACCCACGGCCTCCTGCACACGTGGCGAGGGAGTTAACGTCTCATAGCTACTGCTGGATCAGTGGCGAGGTAACCTCCCACAACCCCCTCCCACTACACGCCACCCCCACCGCGGCCCTTCTAATCAACTGAAATTGTGCCGCTTGTTTGGCGCTGAGGATTTGCTGCAACCTTTTGATGGCTGGAAGGTCAATGATCAACCAAACCGATTTCCCCGTCCTATAAACTTGCAACGGCGTTCTGGCCGAGTGCCCCGGTGGGAGGGGAGGGGAGGAGAGGGGGGTTAATGACTCAAGCCCCCGGGACCGATGGGAGCCTGGGTTCGAATCTGAGTATCAACCACCCGTGAGTAAAGCAAGTTCTCAGGTGTAAGAGGGTTTATAACCTCAACCCAGTCACCAATGATTGTCTAACATGAATACATAAATACAGGGTGAACGTTTTAGCCCCCGCGGTAAACAGTGCCTGGACCAAAATCGATAGATACTCAGGGAGAACACTCAAATTCCACATCACAGCTGTATCTTGCAATCCACTTGTTGCACTGCCTCAGGTAGCCGGTGTGTCGTACACGTGTAATAACAACGCTGAGTCCAACTGCTCTTTCTCACGAGGGGTGCTCGCCGCTTCATCGGCTTCTTTTTTTAAATCCTTTATATTAAGTTCACTTGCTTGCTTGCTTACGACCGTGCAAATCTGTCGGTCGTTTTTTAACCCCACTTCCCCGTGATCCAATCGAGCTGACATTTTGCACACAGACTCGTTGTGCGAGACAATTAATTTTCGTGAAATTTTTTTCCAAATTTTACACTGTTTAGGGAAAACAAATTAAATATTTAATTACCAATTGCTTAATACTGACAATCATCTGACCCATAGGTGGCAGCCATCTCAAGCCAGAGGACGAGAGGACTCTAGCTGCCACGCATATAAAGGATTTATAGTGAAAAACTTTGTTTTTACGGGTTATACTTATTTCATCTTAAGATTTGTTTAAGACAATTAAATGTGGGCGTCCGTCATACAAGCGGGAGAAAAGTGGAGCACCCGAAGTAAAACCCACGCTCCTTAATGGTAGCGACACCCCCTGCCCCCCCCCCCCGTCCGTTACAGACGGTAACAGACGGAGGTCAGTCCATTGGCTGTACCGCCTTTCTCACGACGAGCCAAGGAAGCGCGACTTCCTCCTCCTCGACGCCCGCGTTGAAGGGAGATTCGCAGCGTTTGTTCAGTGACCCACCAACCCTCGCTGCTTGCCTGCCGCAGCGCTCGCTAAACAGGCAGCAGCAGCGTGGCCACCAACGCCACTTGCCGGGCTTTGATCACAGCATGGGACACCGGCCACAAACGCGAATTTTCGCTCGACCTTTTTAGATATGTCGATGGAAGTGTGTGTTTTATTATTTTTGTGTTGTTGTTGTCGCCCATTTGTTCGCGGACTTTGATGGCTGACGGTCAAGAATCGTGACAGAAGGAGCAAGCGGCACGTGGCCACGGCAATCTGGTGAGTAGGTGAGTGAGTAGGTGAGCGAGTGAGTAGATGAGTAGGTGAGCGAGTAGATGAGTGAATAGGTGAGTGAGTAGGTGAGTGAATAGGTGAGTGGGTTGGTGAGTGAATAGGTTAGTGAGTAGGTGAGTGATTGAGTAGGTGAGTGGGCTAGTAGGATAGTGAGTGGGTGAGTGAGTAGGTGAGTGAGTGGGTAAGTAGGTGAGTGGGTGAGTAGGTAGGTGAGTAGGTGAGTGAGCGAGTGGGTGAGTATGTGAGTGACTGAGTGGGTGAGTAGGTAGGTGAGTAGGTGACTGAGTGGGTGAGTGAGTGAGCGAGTGGGTGAGTGAGCGAGTGGGGTATGTGAGTGACTGAGTGGGTGAGTAGGTGAGTGAGCGAGTGGGGGAGTAGGTGAGTGGGTATGTGAGTGACTGAGTAGGTGAGTGAGTGACTGAAGTGGGTGAGTTTGTGAGTGAGTGACTGAGTGGGTGAGTGGGTGAGTATGTGAGTGAGTGGTTGAGTAGGTGAGTGAGTGGGTGAGTAGGTGAGTGGGTGAGTAGGTGAGTGAGCGAGTGGGGGAGTAGGTGAGTGAGTGGGTATGTGAGTGAGTGACTGAGTAGGTGAGTAGGTGAGTGAGTGACTGAGTGGGTGAGTTTGTGAGTGAGTGACTGAGTGGGTGAGTGGTGAGTATGTGAGTGAGTGGGTGAGTAGGTGAGTGAGTGGGTGAGTAGGTGAGTGGGTGAGTAGGTGAGTGAGCGAGTGGGGTGAGTATGTGAGTGAGTGACTGAGTAGGGTGAGTATGTGAGTGAGTGACTGAGTGGGTGAGTAGGTGAGTGAGTGGGTGAGTAGGTGAGTGAGTGGGTGAGTAGGTTAGCGAGTGGGTGAGTATGTGAGTGAGTGACTGAGTGGTGCTGCTGCCGCTTTCACTGGCCTCTCCCCCCTCCTGTCCTCTCTCCCTGCCTCTGTCACTCTCCTCCTCGTCTTCTTGGTGTCTTTACGATCACAACGTAACAAAATGCTCGGTGTGTTCGGCAAATTGATTCGTTCATCGTGTCGTTTTTTTTTGTCTTTTTTCAATGCTTCGTCTTACCTAATTCCTCCTCACTCTATACAACTCCACGTGTCACTATTTTTTTTAGGGCTTCCGCTCATTTTATTAATGTACTTGTTAGTGTTTCACAGAAGGAATAAACATTTTCATTTACTTCAACGTCTTGTTGTTGTTGTTGTGTTCACGGCGTGCTGCCCAGTCGCGTGGGCTGTTGCTGCTTCTTGTGCAGCGGCTGCTTCTGCTGCTGCTGCTTCTTGTGGAGCTGCTGCAGCTGCTTGTGCAGCTGCTGCAGCTGCTTCTGCTGCTGCTGCTTCTTGTGCAGCTGCTGCTTCTTGTGCAGCAGCTGCGGCTGTGCGCAGTAGCGCTCCAGCACGAGCAGCGAGCAGGCGCAGGCAGCACGCTTCTGTGATGCCGCTAGCTGCTGCCGCTGCCGCTGCACGCCAGCTGGTGGTGCCGCGTAGAAGCCTCGCCCGTTGCATACAAACGCCAAGGCGTCAACCAGCTGGCTCCCGCACAGAGTCAAGGCCGCGCTTTGGTGGTGGAGTAGTACGCACAGCGCCAGCGGCGCCAGCAGCCACAGCGCTGGGGACGCGGGTGGCGGGAGGCCATGACTCTGTGCGGCAGGAGGCCCATGCTGCTGCTGCTGTGCTGCCGCCCCGTGGGTTGTTGTTGTCGCGGTGACGGTGGCAACTGCGAAGCGCGCGCGTCGCTCCTCGGGGGGGGGGGGGAGAGTGGGGGGAGTGGTGGGGGGAGAGTGGGGGGGGGGGGAGGGGGGGAAGTGGTGGGGAGAGTGGGGGGAGTGGTGGGGGGAGAGTGGGGGGGGGGGGAGAGTGGGGGGAAGTGATGGGGGGAGAGTGGGGGGAGTGGTGGGGGGAGAGTGGGGGGGGGGGAGAGTGGGGGGAGTGGTGGGGGGAGAGTGGGGGAGTGGTGGGGGGAGAGTGGGGGGGGGGGAGAGTGGGGGGAGTGGTGGGGGGAGAGTGGGGGGAGTGGTGGGGGAGAGTGGGGGGGGAGAGTGGGGGGAGTGGTGGGGGGGAGAGTGGGGGGTGGTGGGGGGAGAGTGGGGGGGGGAGAGTGGGGGGAAGTGGTGGGGGAGAGTGGGGGGGAGAGTGGGGGGGGAGAGTGGGGGGGGGGGAGTGGGGGGAAGTGGTGGGGGGAGAGTGGGGGGAGTGGTGGGGGGAGAGTAGGGGGGGGGAGTGGGGGGAGTGGTGGGGGGAGAGTGGGGGGAGTGGTGGGGGAGATGAGGGGGGGGGGGGAGAGTGGGGGGGGGGAGTGGGGGGGGGGGCGAGTGGGGGGAGTGGTGGGGGGAGAGTGGGGGGGGAGAGTGGGGGGAGTGGTGGGGGGAGAGTGGGGGGAGTGGTGGGGGGAGAGGTGGGGGGGGGGAGAGTGGGGGAAGTGGTGGGGGGAGAGTGGGGGGAGTGGTGGGGGGAGAGAGGGGGGGGGGGGAGTGGGGGGAGTGGTGGGGGGAGAGTGGGGGGAGTGGTGGGGGGAGAGTGGGGGGGGGGAGAGTGGGGGGGGAGAGTGGGGGGAGTGGGGGGGGGAGAGTGGGGGGGGGGGGAGAGTGGGGGGAAGGGTGGGGGGAGAGGGGGGGAGTGGTGGGGGGAGAGTGGGGGGGGGGAGAGTGGGGGGAGTGGTGGGGGGAGAGTGGGGGGAGTGGTGGGGGGAGAGTGGGGGGGGGGGGGGAGAGTGGGGGGAGAGTGGTGGGGGGAGGTGGGGGGAGTGGTGGGGGGAGAGTGGGGGGGAGGGGGGGGGGAGAGTGGGGGGAAGTGGTGGGGGGAGAGGGGGGGAGTGGTGGGGGGAGAGTGGGGGGGGGGGAGAGGGGGGGAGTGGTGGGGGGAGAGTGGGGGGAGGTGGGGGGAGAGTGGGGGGGGGGAGAGTGGGGGGAAGTGGTGGGGGGAGAGTGGGGGGAGTGGTGGGGGGAGAGTGGGGGGGGGGGGGAGAGTGGGGGGAAGTGGTGGGGGGAGAGTGGGGGGAGTGGTGGGGGGAGAGTAGGGGGGGGGAGTGGGGGGAGTGGTGGGGGGAGAGTGGGGGGAGTGGTGGGGGGAGAGTGAAGGGGGGGGAGGTGGGGGGGGGAGAGTGGGGGGGGGAGAGTGGGGGGAGTGGTGGGGGGAGAGTGGGGGGGGGGGAGAGTGGGGGGAGTGGTGGGGGGAGAGTGGGGGGAGTGGGGGGGGAGAGTGGGGGGGGGAGAGTGGGGGGAAGTGGGGGGGAGAGTGGGGGGAGTGGTGGGGGGAGTGGTGGGGGGAGAGTGGGGGGAGTGGTGGGGGGGAGAGTGGGGGGGGGAGGGGGGGGGGGGAGAGTGGGGGGAGTGGGGGGGGGGGAGAGAGTGGGGGGAGTGGTGGGGGGAGTGTGGGGGGGGGGGAGAGTGGGGGGAGTGGTGGGGGGAGAGTGGGGGGGAGTGGTGGGGGGAGAGTGGGGGGGGGGAGA